AACGAAAATAAAAAATAGACACAAATTTAGAAAAAAAATGCACCAAATATAGCATAGATCACAAACACAATAAGATAAAAACACTTCTATCACAAATCAAATGAAACAGTAATGAATAACGCATCATAAATATCACGTCTTACCTCAACAAAGGACTCTGTATTCTAAATCGAATGATAAAAATTTCCAATGTGACATCAAATATTTTCCCGATCGAAATTTTGTTGGAATATTCACAGTAAATTTTAACAACACTCTGTTATTTCGAAATTAAAACAAAAATGAACACAAAACCAACTGTGAATATATCTATTCCTCAGCGAACAGCGTTCCGAACACACAAAATCGTTGAAATTGAAATGACAATAAAATCAATTGATCACCCAAACCACGCTACAGACACTCACATCTAATTCTCAAGAAATCCTCTTAAAAACAAAACAAAATTTTATTGTTAACAAAATCGGTTGGTGCGATTGTAGTTTCAAAGTGATGGAAGTTGTTTATACTAACAATACTGTCACACGATGCGAGAACATTTTTAATACATATAAATGAATATCGTTGGATTTGGTTTGACACATATACACCTCGCCAATCGAAAATTGTCAGAAAGATGTTAGTTGCATATCGAACACTGAAAATACTAATTCCACAAATGAAGAAAATTAAATGCAATAAATGACGTGTAAAAGAGTTCTTCTGCAGAATTTTAAATTAAATTAGGCAAATCTCTTTCCGAATAAATTGTTTATTTTTTTATTTGAGCGTAAGATTTAGATTTTCAATTTAAAACCTAATGGTTGTGTTCACATTATGTTGTCAAATGAAATATTATTGGAAGTGAAAGAAACAAGTGGATCCATTCCATTCGGAATTCGTGGAAACTATGCACATAATCTCCGTTCCATTTGACACGAAAATGACCACCAGAATGTGAACACAACACAATACATTAAGTTTTAAATTGAAAATCTAAATCTTACGCTCAAATAAAAAAATAAACAATTTATTCGGAAAGAGATTTGCCTAATTTAATTTAAAATTCTGCAGAAGAACTCTTTTACACGTCATTTATTGCATTTAATTTTCTTTATTTGTGAATTTATTATTTTCAGTGTTCGAGATGCAACTGACATTTTTCGTTTGGCGCGGTGTATATGTGTCAACCAAATCCAACGATATTCATTTATACGTAGGTTGCTCCATAATTTTTTTTAAAATGGTACTTATAGTGTTGCCCGATGTAAACCATTGTCATATTCGTAAAGTTTGATGTTTTGGTATGTATTCGTGCCCTGAACCTTTTGTCGTACGAACGCTATTTGTATTGTTTACAGTGACTGGTAAACTGCGACTCAACAAAAAAATGAATTTTACACGTGAAGATTTTCGTAAAATGATTTACTACGATTTTCGAAGTAAATTATCTCAACAACAGTGTTTCGATCGACTTCATTTGGCCTTTGGCAATGAAGCACCAACCCTTCAGACAATTTATAACTGGTACCGAGAATTCCGTTGCGGTCGTAGTTCGCTCAAAGACGAGTTTCATACAGGTCGTCCAAAATCGGCTGTTGTGCCACAAAACATCGATGCTGTCAGAAAACTGATTATGGAAGATCGTCATGTGACCTACCGTGAGATTGAGGCATCTTTGGGCATTTCATCCCACAGCATACATACAATTTTGCATGAACATTTAGCCGTAAAAAAGATTTGCTCTCGTTGGATCCCACATAAATTGACCGACGAACAAAAAATGGCTCGTGTGAGTTGGTGTAAAGAAATGCTCAAGAAATTCAATCGTGGTGCTTCAAAAGACGTTAATAAAATCGTCACTGGTGACGAATCGTGGATATATGCCTATGAGCCCGAAACGAAACAGCAGTCGACTGTATGGGTCTTCCAAAATGAAGATAACCCAACGAAAGTTGTTCGAGCAAGAAGCACTTCGAAGCGAATGGTCGCCTGTTTTTTCGGGAGAAGTGGTCATGTGGCAACCGTTCCACTAGAGGATCGTAAGACCGTCAATTCTGATTGGTATACCACCATTTGTTTGCCCGAAGTGTTTGGTGAAATAAGAAAAAACAACCACCGTCGCAAAATAATTCTTCATCACGATAATGCGAGCTCTCACACATCTTTTCAAACTACTCGATTTTTGACCGGTCAAAACATCGAACTGATGGGTCATCCACCGTACAGTCCTGACCTGGCACCCAATGACTTTTTTTTGTTCCCAAGCGTGAAGAAAAAACTACGTGGTCAACGATTTTCGACACCAGAAGAAGCAGTTGAAGCGTTCAAAACACACGTTTTGGAGATATCAGTTTCGGAGTGGCACGAATGCTATGACAAATGGTTTCATCGAATGCAAAAGTGTATCGATCATCTCGGGGAATATTTTGAAAAACAATAAAACCATTTTCGACAAAAAACAACTGTGTTATATATGTTTTTAAAAAAAATTATGGAGCAACCCTCGTATGTATTTAAAATGTGCTCGCATCGTGTGACAGTATTTTTAGTATAAACAACTTCCATCACTTTGAAACTACAATCGCACCAACCGATTTTGTTTACAATAAAACTTTGTTTTGTTTTCAATAGGATTTCTTGAGAATTATATGAGAGTGTTTGAAGCGTGGTTTGGGTGATCAATTGGTTTTATTGTCATTTCAATTTCAACAATTTTGTGTGTTCGCTGTTTGCTGTGGAATGGATATATTCACAGTTGGTTTTGTGTTCATTTTTGTTTTAATTTCGAAATAACAGAGTGTTGATAAAATTTACTGTGGATATTCCAACAACATTTCGATCGGAAAATATTTGATGTCACATTGGAAATAAATTTCATCATTCGATTTAGAATACAGAGTCCTTTGTTGAGGTAAGACGTGATATTTATAATGCGTTCCTCATTACTGTTTCATTTGATTTGTGATAGAAGTGTTTTTATCTTATTGTGTTTTTTTAATTATCAAACAGAAAGAAATTTGAACAATAATTGCTTTGACACAGTGGAAATTTTTGAGAGAATTAATATGATTCCTTTGGATGCTAGAAACATTATATGTCTTCAATTAAATGTTGATGTTATTTGAAATTGACATTAATGATTGACTCGTGACTCGCGCTACAGCCATACATTTTGTGTATGGTATGTATGATGTGACTCGTGAGCAGTTTGTATGAGACTTTCACGAGTCAACGCTGATTCGAGTCAGTCATAAGCCCCTTGGGTTATTTAGGGTCAATCATCGTGAAAATTTCGTTTCAGATGAATATCACATTAAGCATTTTTTGATTTTGCAGTAGTAAATAAAATTGTATAAACAAGACTGCAATATGACGAAAACCAAAAAAATTTGAGAAGTACAGAACTGATTAGGGTTAGTGCATTTTCATCGTACTATCCTCACAATCAGACGTTTTACGTAGCTTGTAGAAACTTTATCTTGGCAAGACAAACATTTTTAGAATCGGCATCAAGACAATTTTTTAGAAACACAATCGATATCTGCCACTCTGAAGTCGAAAAGGCTTGTAGCTGGGTATACGATCGAATGGTGTTTCATTGTGAACGATATTTTACAAATTTTGTGATAAATTCAGTCTGTGATCAGAAATAAATAAATGAAAACTGTTCTGAACAAAAGCAAAAAAATATGAATCGCTTGTAAATAGTTTCCAACTGTTGATCAAGCTAAAATAAAAATACCCTGATATTTTACTTTGTTTCTCACTGAGTATGATCATGAATATTTTTATTGGTTTGTGAAAATTTACAGAAGTACGTGGTGTTGACACATCTTAAAATTTCGTAGCGACAAAAACACTGTTACTCATGTATAATAACAATAACATTGTTTGCAGTAGGCTTGTACGTTTGACATCTGGTTCTCTATTTTTCAGACTTGAGTTTTGTTAGAAATTCATGAATAATGTAATTGCAAATTCTCATAATAATTCTAGTTATTGGCGAATAATTGATCGTTACACTTTAGTTTCAGTAACTTTTGAACCATAGTGGATTTTTCTATTGAAAATAACTGATTTGGTGAGTTTGAGCAAGTTTGAGTTTGATGTTGTAAATAAAGAGTTTCAATCTTATTTTTATTTATACCAACTTTGTCTCCATCAGGACTCAGGACTAATGTTTAGTATGTGTTGCATTGGAAATGATTGAAGTAATGGAAAGCTGTTCCATACTACTTTCCAAAAATAAGGTTTTGCAAATTAAACATACAATACTTGGCAACCGAAAACTGCAACGGGACGTGAATATACAGGGTGTCTCACGAACTAGGCGCACCCCCTAAATTTAAAAATTTAAAAAAACGCTTTGGGGGGTATGTTGGGGGTAAAAAATAGAAAATTTCTATCGGAGCAGAATTTTGAATTTTTCCCCAGGGGGGTTGGGGGTGCCCCCAATTTTACAAAACTTCATCTCATCAAAAAATAATGTACTACAAAGTTGTTCAAAATGACGAGAGACATTTTTTAGGACCCCTGCCCTCCAAGTCCCCCCACCCTTTAAGGGGGTCGGGGGGTCAAAAACCCCCAAGATGTGATTTTTTTGACCTGAAACCCAAAAATTCGGAATCAGCATGAAAAATTACCTTAGAATCGATATTTTTCTCATTCACGTTTTTTCACAAATTTTTGACCAAAAAAGTGTAAAATCGACTCCTCAAATCTTACAAAGATTCTTCGTTGCTAAACATGAAACTTTCAACTGTATTTTTGGGGGTTGTTTTGTCGTTGGTAATTATCACACTCTTAATAGTGTGTAATTGGAAAAATATTTCCAATATTTTAAATATTTTTATTGTTTACAGGTCCTGGTGTTGGTAAATGTTGCCGAGGGAACTGGATCTCGCCTACTTAGACTTGGACGCAACCGTAGTAATGCAGACGAAGACAGGAATGAACCGCAAACAACAGGCAGTTTTCATCGTGGTAAGTAGTTTTTTTAAACGGTATTTTAGATTCAGACATTCAATATTCCCGTTTTTTATATCTTTATTTCTTGATACATTCAGGTCGATCTAGTAGACAATCGGGTGGTAAGTAGTGTGAGCAAAATACTATTTTTTAGATTCAGACAGGATTTAAGATGTCTGTTTTTAATTTTCTTAAAACTTTATAATATGTGTCTTTCTTGATATGCAAAGGGAGTAGTACTGGTAGATATAGTAGACAAAGTTCAAGAAAAACACTGTTTTTTT